GATGGGGGTTCAGGAGAGTCTGGTTCAGTGTTAACAAAATTAAGACGATCAGTAGCGGCATACAAAGGGCATCTGAACAGAACGCGTAACAGGTGCAAGGCTACTTGCCAACGCAGTAATGTAGACTGCGATGATTTGCAAGACTGCTTGAAGAGTTTGGGGGAAAAATGGGAAGCCTATGAACAAGCATTCTCAGCATATGAGCTACAGGCTATTGAGGATAATGAATCCCAGGGTAGTCTTCAGCAGGGTCTGGACGAATTCACTAAGGATGATGTAGATTGTCATCAGGAGATGAATATGTACAAAGATAAGTTAAGTACATTAAAGGCTAGTATTCCAAGGGTGGTGTTGAACACCACAGGTACCCCAAACAACCACACACCTGTCAGTATGTTGCCCAGGTTGCCCCAGTTGAATTTACCAACGTTCGACGAAACCTTAACAGAGTACATTGCTTTCTGGGATCAGTTTAGAGCCCAGATAGATGACAGGAACGATTTGTCAGATGCCGTCAAATTGCAGTATTTGCGGTCGCAGCTCAAGGGTAAAGCCTTAGACCTGGTCCGGCACTACCAGATTACTGACACTAATTACCAACATGCCAAAGACCAATTAGAAGACATGTTTGGCAACACTGAAGAGATAAAGGTAGCTATACTTTATCGGTTGTTGGATCTAGAGGCTTGCCGACATGACCGTCAAAGCCTAGAGAAGTTCCGTATTGAAATTATGAGCTTGACAAATAGTTTCAGAGATTTGCATGATGAGGATGATTCAGAATGGGTCCTTAGCCAGGTGATTCAGAGGAAACTGGCTAGCACGACAGTGCATGAGTTACACTTAAAATATCTGACGAATAGGTTCACGATAAAACAAATTGTTGAGGGGTTGGGAGATCTCGTTTCTCATTTGAGTATAGGTGTGAGAGAAGAGTCACCACCATCGCCACATAAAACCCCAGAAAGTTGCTCAAAGATCTTGAGAGATCAGTCTAGAGCTCGTATGACTAACGTTGGAGTGTACTATGGTAAGAACCTCTAAGCAGAACCTCAGAGGCATCACCTTCGCCTGATTTTCAAATGCTTCAAAAAATTAATCTAAATTATCCTCAGTAAATTTAGGCATCAAAGAGGCTGCTTTACTAAGGTCAAATGAAGGGATTGTATACATATTACTCAATTCTCTTTTCTTCCTCAGTACTTCCCATTCATAAAGCAAAGATTCACGTTCAAAATTCTCCCTTTTTAATTTTCTCTGGGCTTCTACAAAGGAGGTTTGAAGCGATAAAATACGTTCTAGACGTTCGAAATTCTCCTTAGATTGAATAGTAGTCAAAAGGGCTAAAGAGATTTGAGGTGGAACGTGTTCATCATCCAATAGGACTTCCTCTTGTTCTGTTTCAAAAACATCTGTAAAGGGTTTACCTGGAACCGTTTCTTTAGCCTGATGGAGTTCTGTTCCCCATATAGTCCTTGGAGATGGAATTGGAGTCGTTGTAGCAGCGTAGCGTTTCCGAGTATCGGGAAGGTCATGTCCGTCGTCTCCAGTAGGGGTTGTTAGCGTCGTAGTTTCGGCCTCGGGTGTCTGTAGTAAAGAATTCAAAAAGGAAAGAATATCTGCTTCTCCATTCTCAGTCTCTGGATCCTGCTCATCTGGAAAAAGGACATTCTGTATCATACATCTGACTGTCTGGGCAGTGAAATGCCTGTCGTATTTTATGCCCAAGCTTCGTGCTAATTGCCAACAAGATTGAAGCTTCAAATTCTGTAATCTCTCCTTTTGTAATCTCTCCTTTGTTATATCTTCAAACCTCTCTGCCATTTCTACATTCATTTTAAAGGAAATTCAGTGTTATGCTCCCGGACACAGGCCCCCACTTGTTACACTCCAAGTATTGTAACCACTATTTCCTTCTTTTTAGAGCATAACAACTTCGGTCAGAGAGGTTAGGGTAATAATAGTGATCCTCCGGAATGCCTAATTTTAATTAAGTATATTCATAATACAACAAAGGCCAGAAATAATATACGAATTATCGTATATAAGTTAAGAATGCATGTTTGTTCTATATTATCCAAAATATATATAAGGCTTTCATAACAAACGATTAGGAGGAGATCCTAGATATAACATATATATAAATGGAGATTACTTTAATGTATAGTCTTCTTTTCCAATTGGAAGCAGTCAGAATAAAACAGAATATGTCCAGGCCGGCTAATAAACCTTGGCCAGTTACCAGAGACGAGCAGGAGTGTTCTCGTTGGCTGCTACTTCTTCACTGCTCGTCCCTCAACCTTGAGCATACAGGTAAAGTGGGTCACGTGACGTGACTCACCAACACTCAGTAGAGTAGTTGAACATAAAGGGGGGAGAAGGGGGGGTATAACCATCGAACATCACGGCTAACCATACACCGGCACACCGGGCGGCAGGCAGGTTACTATACCTCCAATTAAACTTATCATGGCCATATTAACAATTATGATTTATGTAACAAGAATGAGCCTTAATAATACAAGGACGTTCATTTCCAATTTAGCTATTAAAGGAAATAACCGCAATGTAATATTAAAGGAAGGTTAACCATAGGGGCATGACACCTCTACCCCCGTACTATCCCCTGCCCCGCTGTTTTCTGTAACCTACTGATCATCCCTCCTCCCTTCTGCCATCCAATACCCTCGCTTCCTTCCCTACCCTGCAGCACTGTATAGCCCTTGTGGCTTAGCGCTTCTTTTTGATTATAATAATAATAATGGTGTTCAACCTTCTTGTTTGTATGATTCACTAACTGGATTTTCTGTAGCTAGATTTAATATACAGTACTGTACAACGTGTCATTTAGTACAATAGACTTTTGCAATTTATGCAACCATAATTTGTGTTTTCAGTAAATTGCTATTTAAATTTTGTGTAAAATCCTGCAATTTACAGGTAATTTGCTACACAAACTCTGATGATGATGCCTCTACCACTCCCCTCAGTCCTTTCTACCTCAATCTCTAGCTACCCTCTACCCCTGCACTATCCACTACCCCACTGTATTCCATAACCTAATAATCATCCCTCTCCCTCTTGTTACCCATTACCCCTGCATCCTTCCCTGCCCTGCTGCGCTGTGTAACCCTTGTGGTTTAGCGCTTCTTTCTGATTATAATAATCTTCCAAGTCACTACTATTGATCATGACAATTTACACATCTGTCCACCATGAGAAAGTACGTAAAATTACTATAAATTATGCAGAGTACTATAAAATTACTATAAAATACAGTACTGTACTGCTATAGGTTACAATACCCTTATTCATTGTGAACGGTTGTCTTCTACTACTTTAGAAGACAGTCCAACAATCATGAAATATTAATCTCATAATTTGGAAGTTGTGAACAATTGGTATTATTGTACCACCCCCATCCCCATTAGTCTGTTAATGAGAGAGAATAACACAAAATACTAATTCTTGTGTGTAATGTTCAATATTTGTTTCAATTGCAAAATGTTGTAGCTACATAATTAGTACACAGTAATAGTGGTAGTAGCAACAAGAAGTAATAATAAAAAAAGCACTAATATAAGAGTCATAGCCTGGTCTAGGTCCTGGCCTGTTTGTTTAATTCAAGTTAATCACTAAACCCATGTGGGTCATTCAGTGCAAGATGTGGTGGTTTGATCCTCAGTCTGCTGAGTGCGAGGCAGACACTTCCTATTCGTATATACTAATTCCCAAGGCCTGGCTGCAATGTATGAAAACTCTTTGAACCTGTCAAATGGGAAGAGGCTCACAAACTGCTTGCTCAGAAGTCCTTCATATGACAAAATATGGCCCTGATATAGCCCCCATCAAGCCTTATTCTGAACGACCCATACAGGTTTAGTGCTTCATTTGAACACAGCCTATAAATGAATCATCAAAGGCACTTGATGTGAGCAAATATTATGGCTGATACAATACAAATTGCACTGTATAATTTCCTTTCATTCATCTTGGTTGAAATAGGCAATTGAAATAGTTTTTCAAACTTGACAAATTAACATTGTGTAAAATATTTAATTCACTATAGTGAATGAAGGTAATGCATCTATAAATTATCATGAAGCATTAAGCTTGAATTTATAAGTGACCTAAAAATTTTATATACATAATTCCCCAAAACAGCTTAAATAAGAAATTAATATCACATCATTACACAAGCACACATCATTAATATGAGTTTTATTACAAATCTTATAGGTGGTCCCACAGCAAAAGTGATTAACACTAGGATAAACATCATTTTATAATGATTAAAAATGCAATATGACATAACCATTACACTAAAAAAATGTTTTTTCTTTTAACACTCCAGCTGTCTCCCAGTGAGGTAGGGCAGCCCGAATGAGAAGAAACATTTTCTCCATCAGTCTTGCCAGTGGTGCACTGACATTACAGTTTGAATGCCCCTCCAAACTGTATGTTAGCCTCTGTAAAACCAACTAAGGTATACCTTGTCTTCAATTACTCTCCCTCTAACTCTAATCTTATTTGGGTAAGTTTGAATTAAGATTAATTTTTTTTAGTACATAACATTTCCCTGGGCTATGTTAAGTTTTTTTTTTTTTTTTATTATCACACCGGCCGATTCCCACCAAGGCAGGGTGGCCCGAAAAAGAAAAACTTTCACCATCATTCACTCCATCACTGTCTTGCCAGAAGGGTGCTTTACACTACAGTTTTTAAACTGCAACATTAACACCCCTCCTTCAGAGTGCAGGCACTGTACTTCCCATCTCCAGGACTCAAGTCCGGCCTGCCGGTTTCCCTGAATCCCTTCATAAATGTTACTTTGCTCACACTCCAACAGCACGTCAAGTATTAAAAACCATTTGTCTCCATTCACTCCTATCAAACACGCTCACGCATGCCTGCTGGAAGTCCAAGCCCCTCGCACACAAAACCTCCTTTACCCCCTCCCTCCAACCCTTCCTAGGCCGACCCCTACCCCTACCCCATTTGATATTTACATGTGCTATTGGAAGTGATTACCTAATGAAGTTGGAGACATAAAAAAATGTAACAGACTCGACAAAGAATTATGTGATCAGAGAACAGGGCCTCTAGGAACTTAACCCAAGTAAATGGGATCTGACTAGACAAATTGTATTTATAAGGGCACTCAATTCTTCCAAATGCCTTTTATATTTTAAATGATTTTTCACAAATATATTTTTCACTCACATTCTCTATCTGTAGAATCCACCCTAACAATTTTCACATCAGCTAACCTTGATCTCCAGCACCAACATCTTAAGTTTGTTGTTATATCTGCCATATTTTATCTTCTCCAGCATTCTTATACATTCCCTGGATTCATTCAAGTCCTCCTGCCATATTCTGATGGTACATCAGTCATTATTTTTAATTCCAGTTTAAAGCTTTGCTAATTTTTGCTCAAGGAGCTACTTTAATTTCATCCCATACCTTGACCTAATTGCAATCTGCTTGTTTAATAGTGTACATTCCAAAAATTTTCAGTAATGTTAGTCCAGACATATACTCACTTTAATTTTCCCCTCAGAATCCCAAGAGTCTACAACTTTAAAGAAGGATTTTGCACTGATGCCAGTGAATGGCTCTTGATTCCTTGGATCAAACTGATTACCTCCCATTCCCCAGGCACTATATGACTCTTATGGGTTAAGCACTTCCCATGAACATAATAATCAAACCTTTTGTCTTTTAGTCACATGAGGTCTCTCACTTGTGAATTGGTCCACATAGCAGTGCTGCCTCTTCCACTTGTATCGAGTGATCATGGGGTGCAGGGAATGCTGTTCTAGCAACTGTAATCCATCAACAGCATCAGAGGAATGCGAAGTCTTTTTGCACATATATATTTGTCTAGGCTCACACTCTAGTTGGTGAGGTTTCTTGACGTGACAAGCAATATGGACCAGCTTTAGATTGCCACTGGAATTTTTGTTTGTACCAGTTTTATGACAGAAGAGTAAATTATGAAAATAGGAGAGGTTAACTTCTGATGATCTTGATCCAGAAAGTGCAGCTTTTAGTGTAGGTAAAACTGTCCTTGATTTTTCAATTCTGAAATGTTAATTGTGAATTAGAGTAATTAAGTATATAAGCAAAGTAAGTGAATATCATAGCATTAATGGTATATAATACTGATGAGTTGATGACGTAGACACATGTACAACACCTAAGTACATATCTTTGGAATAAAGATGTTTTACAAACCAGTGGCTCTATAAATTCAGTACAGAAGTTATTGTAAGGTGTTGAAATTAGAGATAGAATTCAATTCAATTCAATTCAAGTTTATTCTCTATAAGGGTTACAATGTGGGGTTTACAGGTTTTTGGGTATTGTGTGGTTTGCATGTTATAAAATACTAATTACAGAGGGGGCCACTAGGACACCTAGCCTGGCTAGGCATTTCGAGCAGACTTAGATTAATTCTTAACATTAAATCCTTACAGATTATGGTATTAAGGCTAAGTGACTACATCCTAATTTGTGAGTTTAGCAATGTGAATGCTTTTGTTTTGGCACAATACAAAGTGTCTATATTGGAGTATCATAGGCAAACTTATGACTAGTTAGGATTTATTATTTTAAGATTAAGATTAGTATTTCTGGGTTTATAGTCAGTGGGTGAGTGAGTGTAATTGTGAACCACCAGGTGGTTATCATGTAGTTAGTTGTCGGGGTGGATCAGGGAGATTAGATGTTTTCTAACTGTAGTTTTGAAAGTGATGAATGTGTCTGCAGTTCTAGAGTTTTCAGGTAGGACATTCCAGATTTTAGGTCCTTTGAAATACATTGAATTTTTGTAAAGGTTTAGTCGAACACGGGGAATGTCATTGAGATGTTTGTGTCTGGTGTTATGCCTGTGGATCCTGTCACAACTATTAAGAAAGCATTTTAGGTCAAAGTTAATATTGGAATTTAAGGTCCTGTAGATATAGATTGCACAGTAGTAAGTGTGGATGTTCTGAACAGGGAGTAAGTTTAGATCTATGAAGTGGGGGGGGGCGTGTTGCCAGGGATGGGATTTAGTGATTATTCTTACTGCGGCTTTTTGTTGGGTTATTATTGGCTTTAGGTGTGTTGCTGCAGTTGAACCCCAAGCACAGATAGCATAGGTGAGGTATGGATATATAAGTGAATGGTATAGTGTGAGAAGGGCAGTTTGCGGCACGTAGTATCATATCTTGGAGAGGATCCCAACCGTTTTGGATACTTTTTTTGTTATGTGTTGGATATGGGTGCTGAAATTTAGGTTGTTGCTGAGGTATAGGCCAAGGAATTTGCCCTCATTATGTCTGGCAATTAGAGTGTTGTCGATCTTAATGTTAAGTTGCGCAACACCTGCTCTGCTACCAAACATAATATAGTAGGTGAACACTCTCTAGGCTGTGGAACTAATTACCTCCTCTATTTTAGTGCTTTCTCTGATTATAATAATAATAATAATACCTCCTCTATTTTCTCTAGTTTTAATACCCATGGACTTGAACTGATATCAGTGAGGGGGTGGTGGGGGATCCAAGAAACTGGACCTACCCTCCCCTATATCAAATCCAATTACTTCTCATTTCCCACAGGTACTATATGACTCCTAAGGGTTTGTGTACCTGAATGTAGTAATGGATTGAACTTAATTGCTTCCCATTCCCCATGCACTGTATGATTCTTACTGGTTTAACACTTCAAATGATTATAATGATAAATTTATAATCATAGAATTTATTCAGAACCTCTTTGTGTGAAGGTTTTCCCAGAACTGTACAAGACGACAACTTTGGATTATTAACCCTGAAGGGTTAACGACCCAGGATAATCCATGAAAACTAGGCAGTGATGCTTACTTTCACTGAGGGAAGTAAATTTTTTAATTTTTTTTTGTATGTTTTGGCTATGGGTTTAATGGTGTATTATACATTTCAGTTGGTTTATTACAGTTTAAGTTGTTTACCTAATATAAGATCTGTGATATTTGTTAGGGAGAAATATAGAATAATGGTGGGGGAATTATAGTGTTAAGGGTTAGGGTAGTAGTAGGTGGTTCTGTTTTGGCTTGAGTCATGTTTCCAGAGTCTTATATAATTTGTTTGAGGATTTTGTTTAAAGTTTTGGCTTTGTTGGTAAAAGGAGTTGGAGTTTTGTTTGGGTATGTTGCTAATATGGTAAGAGCGAGGTCTAGTTTGAAGGTAGTAGGGTTTTATTCTTATGTTATATTTATAGGTTCTATGTGGATTATGCCTATTTTATCCACATTAAGGCTATCTTGTTGGAGGTTAAGTAGAGGAAGCACCTTTTTTTAAGGCTGGTGATAAAGGGTGATCTGAGTGCTTTGGAGGTCAAACTCATGGCTATTTCGCTAGTATTTCTTCTATTCTGTCAGTTGAATACAAGAAACTGCCCATTTACCTATTTCAACTACTCAATAAAGTGGTCAGAAATTGGTAATTTGGCCAATTTCACACAAACTTCAGGAGATGCCAATTTCAAAAAAGGGTCCAGAATAAACAATACAGATATTTTCTCTGTTCATCAGTCAGGTCTCCAGGCCCCTCTTTTATTACACTTGCTTTCCATTTAGAATTTTTATTCACACATAAAATAGAAGATTTACTGTTATGCAGACTACTACATTATTGTAATAATTGTATAAATAATGTCAGCCCATTCATGACTGCGTATTAGACCGGCCAGTTGGACACTTATTGGATGGTGACGTAATTTGTTTACTCTTGAACATCAGCAAAAATTTAACATTTTGGCTACTTTGAGCTCAATTTCAAAGTGTATTCTGTCGTGAAACCAATCAAAATCATATCTATTTCTGTAATATATCTTCCATTCTATCAACTGAGCCAAAAAAAAAATGAGAATACAACCATTAAAACCACACAAAAATACACCGTAAATTCGCTGTTTTACACCAAAAACACTGCGTGCTGCAGGATTTTTTTTTTATGTAGTACACACCTGCCACACACATTTGTTCTCTCATATGTAGTCCCAAATTTACCAGTCACAGCTTATCTGAGTGAGCTGAGCTCATGGTGATTGACAGTGGCTTCAAAGCCACCTTATCTTTTCTGGACAATGTACAGCGTATGTGCTTTACACAACGAGAAGCACTTCTTTCATTTATTGGAACCATGGCTAGGGCTAAAAGTGTGCAGGTTCTAATAATAAATGGAAAAAGTAAGTAGTGCCACCAAACAGTAGTGGCAGGTTGGTAGGGTGACCCCGGAAATTTGAAATTATGCTAGCCAAAATCATTGTTGGATTACTGATGGAGCTGGATTACTGACTGCTAGATTAGTGATGGCTGACCTGTATTTTTCCTTTAGCACTCCTCACTATTACTGATTCTACTTCTTTCATTCTCCTACTCCTCACCTCTCATTTTTGCATATTTCATCTTAGCACATCCAGCCCTGCAGTGCTGTATGACCCTTGTGGGCTTAGCACTTAGTATTTATTATTTTTTTTTTTTATTATCACACCGGCCGATTCCCACCAAGGCAGGGTGGCCCGAAAAAGAAAAACTTTCACCATCATTCACTCCATCACTGTCTTGCCAGAAGGGTGCTTTACACTACAGTTTTTAAACTGCAACATTAACACCCCTCCTTCAGAGTGCAGGCACTGTACTTCCCATCTCCAGGACTCAAGTCCGGCCTGCCGGTTTCCCTGAATCCCTTCATAAATGTTACTTTGCTCACACTCCAACAGCACGTCAAGTATTAAAAACCATTTGTCTCCATTCACTCCTATCAAACACGCTCACGCATGCCTGCTGGAAGTCCAAGCCCCTCGCACACAAAACCTCCTTTACCCCCTCCCTCCAACCCTTCCTAGGCCGACCCCTACCCCGCCTTCCTTCCACTACAGACTGATACACTCTTGAAGTCATTCTGTTTCGCTCCATTCTCTCTACATGTCCGAACCACCTCAACAACCCTTCCTCAGCCCTCTGGACAACAGTTTTGGTAATCCCGCACCTCCTCCTAACTTCCAAACTACGAATTCTCTGCATTATATTCACACCACACATTGCCCTCAGACATGACATCTCCACTGCCTCCAGCCTTCTCCTCGCTGCAACATTCATCACCCACGCTTCACACCCATATAAGAGCGTTGGTAAAACTATACTCTCATACATTCCCCTCTTTGCCTCCAAGGACAAAGTTCTTTGTCTCCACAGACTCCTAAGTACACCACTCACTCTTTTTCCCTCATCAATTCTATGATTCACCTCATCTTTCATAGACCCATCCGCTGACACGTCCACTCCCAAATATCTGAATACGTTCACCTCCTCCATACTCTCTCCCTCCAATAGTATTTATTATAATATTATTATTATTATTACACTTCTTGCACAGACTCACTCTGACCTTTTTTGACAGCAACAGATATATTACACAACCTTTGATTGTGTCCCGTAGCTCAATCGCTAGCGCACTCAGCTCGCACACTGAAGTTCAGGGTTCAAATCTCCTCCAGTTAGGCTGGAAAACATTAGGGACGCATTTCCATAAGACACCTGCTGTCCCTGTCCTTGATAGTCGACTGGTGTGGGTCGCATCCTGGGACAAAATTAACCTAATTTGCCCAAAATGCTCTGCATAACAAGTGGCTTTCTATATAGTAGTATGTCACTGATGTCAGCTAGGACTGTATACCTTGTACATGTACTTGTAGTAAATAAAAATATTATTATACTTCCTTTAGCACTCCTCGTTGCCCTTACAAACTCTACCTCCGTCATACTCTCCACTCTTGCTAGTTTCAGATCCAGCATATTAAACAGTTCACACACCCTGCCTTGCACCACTGTAGACCCTGGTGGGTTTAGCACTTAGTTTTGATTATAATAAAAAACAAGTGCTGAACCTGTAAGAAATGTATTATGATTATAATACTGATAATTATTATTACATTCATGGGAGAAGCATTAAACCTGTAGGGATCATAGAGCTGTTGGGAAATGAAAGGCATTCCAGCTCAATTCAAGGAATTGTAGTGCAGCTTCTATTCCTTAGATCAAGAGCCTCTCACTAACATCAAGGAACTTTCCTTGAGGGGTCCACAATGCTTGATGATAACAATTGTTCTACATAGTAACATGTGTCTAAATTACCTAGAATGACCCAAATAACCCAGGTGACTTTTTTTTATATTGGTGTCCTTGAGAGCAATTATTTTTATTTTATTAACACATCAGCTGTTTCCCACCAAGGCAGGTGGCCAAAAAAGGAAAAACTTTCATCATTATTCACTCCACTACTGTCTTGCCAGAGGCATGCTCACACTACAGTTATAAAACTGCAGTATTAACACTCTTCCTGGGGTGTTAATGTTGCACTGTACATCCCATCTCCAGGACTCAAATCCAGCCTGCCGGTTTCCCTGAATCCCTTCATAAATGTTACCTTCCTCACACTCCAACAGCACGTCAATTCCTAAAAACCATTTGTCTCCATTCACTCCTATCTAACATGCTCATGCATGCTTGCTGGAAGTCCAAGCCCCTCACACAGAAATCCATGGAATATCCTGTCTAACGGAGTGTCATTCTACCTCCTGCAAATTCTTTCACCCAGAAATGTGCCACTCTTTGATCCTCCAAAAACAGTGCTACAACACCAACCGCCCTGCATACCATCTAAAAGGGACCAAGAGGTAGAGACATCATAAGACAAACAGTAGTTACGATAACCCTACTCTAAGTGATCTTTTAGTGGCAGGAAATAAAGAAAGACAATGGAAGGAAATAACAAAAATAGTCCACCACCTTGGAGCCTTGTTGGACTGGAGGCACAGCCAGTGGGCCCCCCATGGCCCTCCAGAACCACAACTATGGATGCCAACAACAAGATCCCTCCAACAAACACAGAATACGACCACATTTATATTTGCTAATACACCTACCATCTGACTTACGACTGAGCTTGGTTCCGATTGACCAGTCATAAGTCAAAATTAACGTAAGTCGAACCTTACTACTGAATATCAGCATTGTGGCATGCAAAGAGTACGTAACCTTTATTCGGCGCATGTACACACCTTCATTTACAGGCTATCTCCCCCAACCAGCGAACCAGGTTGCTAAGAGTTGATGATGGGGCCCCGTCGTTCAACTAGTGACCAGGTTCTAGCCAATAAGAAGATGGTTTTGGCAATCGCAGAGGTTATGTGGGTACCGCTCTCCTGTCTGCCCTTGTCATTCCCATTCTAGAGCTGGTTGAAGCACGGTCTGCTATCTTGTGGCTTCTATTTCTGCTTTGCTTGCCGTGGAGTGCACTATACTTATCACTGTACATAGTGTACATATTGCTGTTCTAAATTGGTGAAGGATAATATAAATCTAAACTTTTTCTACTGTGTTTATTTGCTCCCATTACACCCGGGGTAACAGGCCATTTGGAATCCTGGGTTGTAATAAGCATCACATTAAGTAATGATTTTATTTTATTGTTTTATTTTGGTATTTCATTTTTTACTTTACTTTTATGCTGTTAGTACTGTATTTTATACTGTAAGGTTTAGGGGAAACACTGTGTACAACACCAACAGTTGTTTGTTTCCCAGAACATTTGCATACAAAACATGGTCGTAAGTCGAGTGGTTGTATGTCGAGCAGGTCATATGTCAAGTAGGTCGTATGTCAAGCAGGTCGTATGTTGGATGGTAGGTGTATACAAGGCTTTAAGCCATCCACCAACGACAAAATACCTTTTGTCAGTGGACTTCTAGAGGAGTCAAATGTGATGTTTGCAGTCTTCACAGAGACCCACACAAAAGATCACTTTGACAATGAAATATGGATAAATGGGTACAACTTTTTTAGATGCGACAGAAAGAACAGGCAACAAGGAGTGGGGGGGGGTTGGCCTGTATGTCGAAGAGTCGCTCATCTGCAAAGAGATGCTGAACACCACAAATGATGTAGTTGAAGTTCTAACAATATAGATCAAGAGCCAAAACCTTGTCATCGTGGTTGTATATAAGCTACCAGATTCAACCTCCCAACAGTTCAAAGAACAGCTACTGAAAATTGATTACTGTCTGGAAAACCTTCCAGCTCCATCCCCAAACATCTTGCTGCTTGGTGATTTCAACCTAAGGCATACAAAATGGAAGAATGTAGCAAACAATGTTATAGCAGAAACAATTTCTGGAGGCAGCGCAGATGAAAAGTCACACACATACGAGCTACTAAATCTCTGCGATAAACACACCCTAAGTCAGTAGAGAGTGGAACCAACGAGACTGGAAAACACACTTGACCTTATCTTCACAAATAATGAGGACCTGGTAAGAAACATACCAATAACAAAAACAACTAATTCTGATCACAGTCTAATCGAAGTTCAGACTTACATGCACAGGGGTCCTGATCAGCAAAATGCACGTAGCTGTGAAGGTGTCTTCACCAAATACAACTTCAACAACAAGAACATCAACTGTGATCATGTGAACCATGTCTTAAATGAAACATGTTGGGAAGATATCTTAAATAACATGGATCCAAACCAGTGCCTAGTCAGGATCAATTTCCTGGCAGCTGAAGTATGTTCGAAGCATTTTCCCCTAAGAAAAAAGAAGAGAAGAAGTAAACTGGAGAAAGACACTTCCTCTACAAAAGATGAAGAATCACTGAGCTCCTCAAGAATGCTAGATTATCTGAAACATGGAAGGTAGCGCTGACCAGGGAGGTGGAAAGTATAAAACTTAAGTTAAAGGATTCATACAGGATCCAGGAGAGACAGGAGCTAAAAGCAATTAATGAAATTGAAAGAAATTTGGAATATTTCTTTTCATATGCAAAAAGCAAGGCAAATACTACATCTAGTATTGAGCCCTTGCTCAGACAAGATGGGACTTACACAGATGAAAACAAAGAAATAAGTGTGATGAATGGTTTTGAAAACCAACAAGTTGAAAATTGAGACACTTATGCAACATATGGGAATCTTTATTGAGGAAACGTTTCACTACACAGTGGCTTCATCAGTAGAATACAAAGCAGAAAGGTGTCGGTTTTCAAAACCATTCATCACTGATAGTCAGGCCTCAACAAACTATTTGAAGGGAGTGGATTAGGATTAAGGGGCTAGAGATGGAAATGTCACATTCATGGAAAGTGCTAGATTTAGAGGGGGTCATACATTACCCTGAGAATGGGAGGTAATAAGGTTCAAGCCAATGAAGGGGAGGATAGTTTGAATTTCTAGGTCCCTCATGGGAGGTTCCTTGATGCTGGTGAGGGGATCTTGATCTAGGGAATTGGATCTGCACTCCAATTCCCTAAATTAAGCCTGAATACCTCCAATTCCTCCCCCCCCCAAGTGCTATATAATCCCTATGGGTTTAGCACTCCCCCACAATAATTCAATTTCTTGGATCAAGAACCAATCATCATGACAGTACTTCCCTTGAAGGAATAGATGGCAATTAAGACTGAGTCAGCACTTCAGTCTGGGAGTAGTTTATGGAATAACCACTCATGAGTACTAAGTTCAACTAATAAGCCAACAATTGCTCTGCCTTATCCCAATGTGCCATGAGACTTATTTGTCTAGAATCATCACCAGTGACAGCTTCTTTCCATGTTCCTACTATAGGATCAAGACCTTATCTAAACAGGTCATCATGTAACAAATATCTATCAGTCTTTTTTTATTCATGACAAATTCAATAACACTAAAAGTGGAATACTCTGGCCAAGGAAATTGCAGATGCAGATTAAAGAGTAGGTTTAATGTGGGGCCCTGAGGCAACTAAGAAGCAGGGCTAGGAGTAAAGACTTAACCCCTATAACCACAACTAGGCAAGTATATAAAAGAACTCTCATAAGCATATACAGTTATACTCCTGAAACTTACACATGATCCAGATTCCAGGTAGAAAAGATGATCCTTGCTTCTCTTGATGTATATGGATTAATAAAATGGATTCCTGGACAGTTCTCCTCATCATATGGTCCCTCACATTTGAAGAGCCCCTGGGCATCGCACAAACGTTCGTGAGGTTCAGCTGTGCGGTCAAAATATTTGGCATTGTACCTGTGTATAAAAAAGTTATTTTTGTACAGTGTATAAGGCACTTTCCTGAAAAGTATTAAATCATTATATTCACAAAATACACTCAACTCCCATGGGTCACAAAATCCGAATATGTAAAAAAAAGTTCACAAACATTATATTCACTAAAAAAAAAAAAAAAAAAAGTGAAAGAAAGTAATGCCAGCACAAATTCATATAATGTGAAGCTTTACACCTGTGTGACCCATACAAGTTTGAAACTTGTTGCTGACTATGTATAATAATAAAACTACACCCATATAGGTCATTCAGTACAAGAACTGGTGAGACTTGATCTTCTATCTGGTAATTTCATGATGAGATACTCTATCAAATTGTACTCATCACATAATTACCTTGATTGGCCACAGAACCTGATCATTTCCATACTCAACGGGATGTTTTTATGTTTCTCACTGTATGACCACTGTGTGTTTAACTCTTAGTTTTGATTATAAGAATATATTTATATATTTCTGGAAAGATAGGTAATGACTGAACGATGCTGTGCGTAGTCTTCTTTGGCTCACCCAGCCTTAGTCATGGCCAGAGTAAAACAATATGAAAAATCACCAATTGCTTTTTTGGTTGGTGCTTGTGGAAGGAAGCTGGGATATAAATACCATGGCAAAGATAGCCATGTAAATTAGTAGAATGGAGTGAGTAAAAACATTCCTGATGAACAAAAACATGTGAGTACAGTGTGAACTTGTCAAGACATGAAATTTGGTAAAAATTCTTCAAAATGCTACATAAATGCACATAAAAAGTATTGATTATTTTAAGTACATTAGTAGTAAGCATTTTTTTTTTCAAAGTTCAACACATGAATTTCTCTACCAGCAACACTTTATATGTATTCATTAAGGCACGTTGATGGGATAGGATGGAGTATGGATGTGGTGACTGCACTGATAGGGGGAAGTAATCCCACTATTACTAAAACTAAATTACACTGAAATAACACAACATTCAATCAATTTAAGATTGGTAAATACGGTCAAATCACCAAAAATCTGAGTATCTCACCTGCAGTTAGACAACTGCTGCTTGAAGAATGCAATAACTTGTCTACAAGGTGAATCTTCTGGTGGGTTATCAGAAATAAGTTCTCGTTTTGTATTGTCCAGGTAACCTCGAACCCTTGTTTCAGCGCTGTTTCTCATGACGGATTCTTTTGTCTTAAACTTTGTATTCAGTCCTATGAATAATAAGCTTTATGAGGATTACTTAACATTTTTTTATTTCCCTTTAAGATTACAAGATTAATGTATATTTAAATATCTAAAACCAACAATATAACCCCCAAAGAGATTTAAATTATTAAGTTTCTAAATACTACAGTGATACCTTGGGATACGAACAGCTCAAAACTCGAACAATTATGTAAGTGTATTTATGTAAGTGCTTTTGTAAGTGTATTTTTGGGGGTCTGAAATGGATTAATCTAATTTACATTATTCCTTATGGGAACAAATTTGTTCGGTATCGGCACTCAAACAGCCTTCTGGAATGAATCAAGTTCATATCCCTATGTACCACTGTACAGCCTCTCCTCACTTAGTGACATACTCGTTTATCAGTGCCTCAGACTTACAATATGCTCTCTGACCAGTATTTATACCTAAATAATGTACATTAAAGCTGATTTCCTCTATTCTGTTTATTTCAATATACAGTACACTACAGTATAAACATTGAAAAATATACCAGAAATGTTATAAATGGTGCAAAGGTGACATAAAAACAATATCAAAGATGGCTGACACGAACCCACTACCATTATGGTATGCTCCTCACTTAGCAACGAATTCGTTTAACGACGTGGTCTTAGGAACGGAACTCCATTGTAAAGTGAGGAGAGGCTGTACAATATTACTTAGGAATCATAATTCGGTTATACCAACCATGGAGATTATTTATAAACTTAGTAGCAATTCCAACCATGATTTATTAGTACACAATTTTCAACATAATGTGCAGCCATAACTCCTCCAAGCCATGAAGGTAATGTAAATAAATCACTGAATGGATGGGGGTTTGAATCTATGGCAGGCAAGTCTTAAAACTCACCTGTGATTTGTTCGCAATTATGTTATTATGGTGAAGATTGTGTTTTTACCACCCAATATGGCTTCTATGATGCAGCCACTGGATCATTTAAGTTCTACTACCCATGCAAGTAATTGAAGAACTCATTGCAGCATACTATGACTAGCATGGCAGAGTTCTAATATAAATTTAATATTACAGGTGCATTTACACATGTAAAGGTGTCATGGGATGAAGTGCCTCAACCATAAATGTAACCTGAGGCCAATTATGGGCTTGTATAGTGAATAATTTCATTGGTTTTCTTTCAGTAAGGAGTCAGGCCTAGGAATTTGTGGCTCTAGTAAAGAATATGAGACACAAGGGATTTAAAGTTATATATGAAGATGTAGTTGAAGTGTAAGAAGAGGATGATGAAAAACCAACTGGAGTCACTCAATTTCCAGTTATGAGAGGTGTATAAAAAGAGGATAAGGTAGAATAACCTGTGGTTAACAATACAACAGTGATGTAAACAGTTCCATATTGGTAAAGCTGGAGACTTTTCACTAAAGAGGAACCTGACATGTTTATGAGCACTGCTCTGAAGCAGAATCTGGAGCTGGCAATAATGCCTCTCCATAAGGGGGCTGTAGGGCAAATTTCCGCGCGCGCTCAACCAAAAATCGAAAAATTATGGAAATTGAGTTATATACACCAAAAAATAGCTTAACTCTTTGGCAACACAATGGTACCAGAATGAATGTTCTACGACATTTCTACAAGAAATTATAGTCATTTACATCAGGTATGGTGACGGCGATGTGGGTAGCGAGTCTGCTCACAGCCCATATATTTTTTGGAATTTTTTCCTTGTTTTTTATCTCTTTTTCTTGCATTATTCTTTCTAATATAATAACTGACTATTTGGCATCATAAAACAGTAGGCGGAGCTTATCTGTAGACCTAGAGACAACCAGGCACCATATGGGAACGCTCGGCAGTGTTCCCGCTCCCGAGAGTGCCAGGAGAAATCACTTCATTATTACGCTTATATCAGCTTATATATCAACTCTACGGCTTATTTATCTATCAGAATTGATCTAATATGATATAATAAACATTATAAATAACATACAAACATGTTACATACTCTAGACTGAATAAAATAAGCCATAATATGGTGAGAGACCATCGGGAATATTTCGATATAAATGAGTTACTCCTCTCATGTCATCTTTGAATAAGAGAAAACAGTGTTTTGAAGAGGATAACTGCATTAGAACATCAGTTTACTAAGTAATACACCAAATAAACACAATTTTAGCAATTTTTTTTTTTTCGAGACGGGGGGCCGGCCGGCGCTCCAGGCCAATATCTCAGAAGTAACTTATTCACCTAAATTCCATAATTCTTCCTTTATTACTTAATTAAATGGAATAATATTCACAGAAATTGTAGAATAATGATTTCTCTATTTAGCCCCATTTCATTTTTGGAAATATTCCAAATACTTTCGGAGTTATGTGGGAGTAAAGGGCAGATTTTTTTAAACATTCCAGGAACTAACGAACTTTATTTTTTTTGTTATTTAGAGGCAAGATTTTCGAGTAAATACGTATAAGCATTGTTCTCTTGGCACCAAGTGTCCAAACAACCTTACGTAGTCCCATATAGGAATAAATTTGGCCACAAGGGCATTTTCAGTAAATCAGTCCTTTTTCAGTCTTTTCTCAGTTGTTGTTTGAGGTATATTTTTGATAAATATTTTCAAGAAAGAGTGAAAATACTTTGTCTTGTGCACCAAAACTGGAAGAAATCGGATGGTAAACAAAAGAGCTACAATTTTTTGCCCAACGCCCCCTTAATAAGCTCTATAATATATACCTGAGCACTTCAATACAACTATCAACTGCTGACAGTCTGTATCCACATTAAGACACAAACCACAGCCTTTTATATCAACACAAGAACTACAACCATTCACTTCAGACCAGTAGAGCCACATTAACCCTCTCCATACACTTCCACATCAAGTAACAACTACTAGAATGTAAGGTGAGGTAGGCATAATATGTACCTAGTAAAACATTAAAATTAAAAAAAAAAAAATGTATGGAACTATTCTTCACTTCATATATCATTTATTTCTACAAAGTGTCAATTTTCAGGAATGCATTCTACACATTATGAGAGGGATTGCTGTATTCAGAAGCAGTAACAGGAGACCCTTCAACAAAAAGTTGAATAATCAAAATCAAAGAATTTGAAGAGTTCTGCATAACCATGGGCTTTCTGCATACACAACCATCACTGTACAAAGAACATAAGAACATAAGTAAGAAGGAACACTGCAGCAGGCCTACTGGCCCATGCAGGGCAGGTCCATGTCAACCCCTGGCTTAGACCAATGGCCCACCCAGTCAGGTCACCTCCACTTAAGGAAGGAGAACGGCATCTGACCCAGTAGCACCAGCTAGTCAGGTCCATCTCACACCCACCCACACCCACTCATGTATTTATCTAACCTATTTTTAAAACTACACAACGTCTTAGCTTCTATAATGGTACTCGGGAGTTTGTTCCAATCATCCACAACTCTATTACCGAACCAGTGCTTTCCTATATCCTTCCTGAATCTGAATTTTTCCAGTTTAAAACCATTGCTGCGGGTCCTGTCTAGGCTAGATATTTTTAGCATACTATTTACATCCTCTTTATTCATTCCTGTTTTCCATTTTTTTTTTATTTTATTTTATTATCACACCGGCCGATTCCCACCAAGGCAGGGTGGCCCGAAAAAGAAAAACTTTCACCATCATTCACTCCATCACTGTCTTGCCAGAAGGGTGCTTTACACTACAGTTTTTAAACTGCAACATTAACACCCCTCCTTCAGAGTGCAGGCACTGTACTTCCCATCTCCAGGACTCAAGTCCGGCCTGCCGGTTTCCCTGAATCCCTTCATAAATGTTACTTTGCTCACACTCCAACAGCACGTCAGTATTAAAAACATTTGTCTCCATTCACTCCTATCAAACACGCTCACGCATGCCTGCTGGAAGTCCAAGCCCCTCGCACACAAAACCTCCTTTACCCCCTCCTCCAACCCTTCCTAGGCCGACCCCTAACCCCGCCTTCCTTCCACTACAGACTGATACACTCTTGAAGTCATTCTGTTTCGCTCCATTCTCTCTACATGTCCGAACCACCTCAACAACCCTTCCTCAGCCCTCTGGACAAACAGTTTTGGTAATCCCGCACCTCCTCCTAACTTCCAAACTACGAATTCTCTGCATTATATTCACACCACACATTGCCCTCAGACATGACATCTCCACTGCCTCCAGCCTTCTCCTCGCTGCAACATTCATCACCCACGCTTCACACCCATATAAGAGCGTTGGTAAAACTATACTCTCATACATTCCCCTCTTTGCCTCCAAGGACAAAGTTCTTTGTCTCCACAGACTCCTAAGTGCACCACTCACTCTTTTTCCCTCATCAATTCTATGATTCACCTCATCTTTCATAGACCCATCTGCTGACACGTCCACTCCCAAATATCTGAATACGTTCACTCCTCCATACTCTCTCCCTCCAATCTGATATTCAATCTTTCATCACCTAATCTTTTTGTTATCCTCATAACCTTACTCTTTCCTGTATTCACCTTTAATTTTCTTCTTTTGCACACCCTACCAAATTCATCCACCAATCTCTGCAACTTCTCTTCAGAATCTCCCAAGAGCACAGTGTCATCAGCAAAGAGCAGCTGTGACAACTCTCACTTTGTGTGTGATTCTTTATCTTTTAACTCCACGCCTCTTGCCAAGACCCTCGCATTTACTTCTCTTACAACCCCATCTATAAATATATTAAACAACCACGGTGACATCACACATCCTTGTCTAAGGCCTACTTTTACTGGGAAAAAATTTCCCTCTTTCCTACATACTCTAACTTGAGCCTCACTATCCTCGTAAAAACTCTTCACTGCTTTCAGTAACCTACCTCTACACCATACACTTGCAACATCTGCCACATTGCCCCCCTATCCACCCTGTCATACGCCTTTTCCAAATCCATAAATGCCACAAAGACCTCTTTAGCCTTATCTAAATACTGTTCACTTATATGTTTCACTGTAAACACCTGGTCCACACACCCCCTACCTTTCCTAAAGCCTCCTTGTTCATCTGCTATCCTATTCTCCGTCTTACTCTTAATTCTTTCAATTATAACTCTACCATACACTTTACCAGGTACACTCAACAGACTTATCCCCCTATAATTTTTGCACTCTCTTTTATCCCTTTGCCTTTATACAAAGGAACTATGCATGCTTCTCTGCCAATCCCTAGGTACCTTACCTTCTTCCATACATTTATTAAATAATTGCACCAACCACTCCAAAACTATATCCCCACCTGCTTTTAACATTTCTATCTTTATCCCATCAATCCCGGCTGCCTTACCCCTTTCATTTTACCTACTGCCTCACGAACTTCCCCCACACTCACAACTGGCTCTTCCTCACTCCTACAAGATGTTATTCCTCCTTGCCCTATACACGAAATCACAGCTTCCCTATCTTCATCAACATTTAACAATTCCTCAAAATATTCCTTCCATCTTCCCAATACCTCTAACTCTCCATTTAATAACTCTCCTCTCCTTTTCCATTTATACACCTCAATCATATCCCCCCTAATTCTACACCTTTCTAGAGAGTGCAGATTCAGGGCCCTCGACCTATCCTCATAGGGAAGATTTCTGATACATGGGATCATCTTTGTCATCCTCTTCTATACATTTTCCAGTGCATTTATATCCATTCTGTAATATGGTGACCAGAACTGTGCAGCATAATCTAAATAAGGCCTAACCAAGGATATGTAGAGCTGAAGAACAGCCTGAGGATTTCTATTATTTATGCTTCTTGATATGAAGCCAAGGATTCTGTTAGCTTTATTGCAAATGCTTATGCACTGTTGTCTTGGCTTCAAATTACTGCTAACCAGAACTCCTAAATCCTTTTTGCAATCAGTAATATTAAGATATACATTATTTAGTTAATATGTAGCATGGTTATAATCCTTTCCAACATTTAGAACTTTGCATTAAACGGCATCTGCCACTTCTCCAATCATTGCATCCTGGAGTGCTCTAATGTCCTCATTAGAATGAACTGGATGGCCTATTTTGGTGTCATCAGCAAATATGCTTATGTTGCTATTTATTCCCTCATCTATGTCGTTTATGTAAATTGTGAACAACAAGGGGCCCAACACTGACTCCTGTGGAACACCGCTTGTGATGTGCCCCCATTCTGATTTCTCCCCATTTATGCAAACTCTCTGCTGCCTATTTGTCAACCATGCCTCTGCCCAAGAAAAAATTTCTCCTATTCCGTTTGTCTTAAGTTTCCTCAATAGCCTCTGATGTGGAACTCTATTGAAAGCCTTACTGAAGTCCATATACACAATATCATGTTCAATACCATGATCTACTTCCTCAAATACCTTAGTGAAGAAAGTTAGTAAATTCCTAAGACAGGAACACCCCTTTGAAAAACCATGTTAAGATTCATTAATCAATTTATGCCTATCAAGATGGCTACAAATTGCCTCGGCAATTATTGATTCCATAAATTTTCTCACTATGGAGGTAAGGCTTATTGGTCTATAGTTCAAAGCTAAGGACCTGTCACCTGCCTTGTAAATAGGTATTACATTTGCCATTTTCCACTTGTCTGGCAGTATGCCAGTTTGTAGTGATATGTTGAAAAGATTAGCCAAAGGTTTGCTAAGTTCCTCTTTACATTCCTTTAAAACCCTTGCAAACAATTCATCAGGGCCTGGGGATTTGTTAGGTTTTAATTTCTCTATTTGTCTGAGGACCATGTCACTAGTTACCCCAAAACTTGCTATACGGCTTCCCCCAGCTGACTTTTTAATATGGTCACTGCGGGCCATCCAGTTTGTTTACATTCTCTGTGAGCACAACTCTCCATTATGTTTGGAAACTTTCCAAAACTTTAAGTGTTTTAAAGTTATTTCATATTTTATATATACTACTCTGATAATTATACTTATGTGTACCTGTACCTAAATAAAATTACACACTGTGCTGGCATGCAGGTACATGTTAAAATCACTAGGAGTGTCTTATTAGTCTTGAAGATGCCATATTAATAATGATAATAATAAAACACACAAAAATAATCACTCTGCAGTGCATTAAATGTCATAAAAAAGTTAATACATGTATAGACATTTTGTTTAATCCATCTATGATATTTTTTTCAAAATTATATAATAAACATGCTATGTAACATAAACAATACAATAAATTAACATATGAGATGTTTTTCCAGTCGTCTTGTTGGATTCTTGGAAAGAATGACATTTTATCTAGTTCAACACGAAAGAAAATGTGTACACAGTAGTTGATAAATTCGACACATGTGCAACACTTGGGTATCTTTATAAAGATACCCAAGTGTTGCATGTGTGTCTAATTTATCTACATAATAGTAACTAACTATCGTGTGTACACAACAGTAATACATACTATTGTGTGTACACAATAGTATTACTGGGGGTAACTGTATAAAATTTTTCCTTTTGTATGCCTTCACTCAGGGCGTCATTCCTTCTAAAAGTGGTGTTACATGAGGTTGGGAGTCCTGCTCTTTATTCTACTGACCTAATGTGGAGACAACCTGTACACAATGTAAGGTGTTTGTATTATGGTATGAGCTTCACAAAAATGGAAATGAACGTGTATCAACCCACCAGCCGCATTCGTCTGTTCGTTTACACACACTGCGGCTCTGTTCTCTCTCATTTACTCATTCTCTCTCTCTCTCTCGTTTATTCGTTTTTATCTCGTTTACTCACCTCTCACCCTACATTAACACTACAAATATTTTAAGGTAAGTAATGAGGGGTGTTAATGTTGCAGTTTAAAAACTGTAGTGTAAAGCACCCTTCTGGCAAGACAGTGATGGAGTGAATGATGGTGAAAGTTTTTCTTTTTCGGGCCACCCTGCCTTGGTGGGAATTGGCCAGTGTGATAATAAAAAAAAAAAGTAATGAGTGTACTGTATATGTATTTTATCGCTCTAGGGTGCTTTAAATGTCATAGTATATTACGTGTGGGTAAGGTGGCCTGACTGGCTACCATACCTACCACACCTGGCTTCATACAATAAACACTACTCACCTCTCACTCTACATTAAGACTACAAATATTTTGAGGGAAGTAATGAGTTTACTGTGTGTGTACAGTGGAACCTCGGTTTTCATGATCAATCCGTTCGAAAAAGTCTGATGAAAACTGAATCATATGAAAACCTGAAGCAATATTTCCCATAAGAAATACAGCCTCTCCTCACTTAATGACAAAGTTCCATTCCTAAGACCACACTGTTAAACAAATTCGTCGCTAAGTGAGGAGCATACTATAATGGTAGTGGGTTTATGTCAGCCATCTTTGATATTGTTTTAATGTTACCTTTGCACCATTTATGACATTTCTGGTATACGTATTTTTAAATGCTTATACAGTAGTGTACTGTATACTGATATAAACAGAATAGAGGAAATTAGCCCTAATATACATTATTTAGGTATAAATACCAGTCAGAGAGCCCATCAAAAGTGAGGAGAGGCTGGAATGTAAATCCAATTAATCCGTTCCAGACACCCAAAAATATTAATAAAACATACATTTTATGGAGAATAGTAAGGCAAAGTAGAGAAAACTAGGGCATACGAAAACCGAGGTTTGACTGTATTTTACTTTTTATTGTTGTTTTTAATGCCTAGTTCTGTTGCTAACCTAATATATGTTAGTGTAAATTTATTATCTGGTATTTAAAAGTAGACAAAATGGCATTCTGCTTTCCAGTGGTGTCCGCTTTCCAGCGGTAGCCTGGAACCTAAATAAATAAATGTATAGATATGAGAGTTTTTTTTTTTAATATAGCAAGGACCTCTTTTGTCCAAAATTCTGTATAACAAGAACACCCACGATATATTAGCAAAAAACGCAACCATCTTCAAAAACTGTCACCACAAATGTTCAGTGCTGTAATATCCCCATATACCTGTGTGACTTGCCTATTTTTGCATACCTTATGCTCTAACAACATATGCTTTTTCTACCCCTCATATAAGAAACAGTTATTATTTGAAAAATTCCATAATCCAAAACACCCTTGTTCATAACCATTTTGGATAAAAAGATGCCCTACTATTGGAAATGTATCCAAATATTGAATGCAATATTTGGATACATTTCCAATTTGGGGATAACTTAGTACCATATAAAATGGAGAATAATCGAGGAGAATTACCTTTGAACCACTCAGTATCACTCTCTCTGGAACTCACTGAAGATAAATCAGAAAATTCAGCAAGAAGTTCTAGGAGTGCTCTTGCATTGGTGGAGCTTAAGGCCTCTTGCAAAAGCTCCAAGACTTTGTCATGAATTTTTGGCTGCTGTTTTAGACAATCATGAAGGAAGACTGCCAACTGATTGATAAAATCTGGTATTTTATATTCCTCCATTGATGACACATGTAGCTCTGTATCACTGTCGAGAAATTCAAAATACTCTTCATCAATTTCCGTGCCATCCTCTAAAGTCACAATGAGTGCCTTCTCCTTCTGAAAAGCATATAAATTATATTTTTTTTAACACACTGGCCATCTCCCACCAAGGCAGGATGACCCCCCAAAAAAAAGAAATGCCTTCATAAAGTTTTTTTCTTTTTACATTTAGTAATTTATACAGGAGAAGGGGTTACTATCCCCTTGCTTCCAGAATTTTAGTCGCCTCCTAGGACACACATGGTTTACAGAAGAATGATTCTTCTTAACTTCTCCATGGAGTATGAATTATATCGCATCTGTAATATTTATTACAGTATACAATTGTGATATCTTTGCTCAAGAAAACACATACAGTACTGAGCAGACAAACTGTACTGTATCCAGTAATTACTGCATATCCCCATAAAAAAGTTTTCTAATTATAGTGGACCCTCGGTTTTCGCCCGCTTTTTTGGCCGAAATTCTATTCCGGTTATCGGCTGTTATTTTGGAGATCGCCGTACTAGATGTGTCTACCCGTGCTCCACGGCGTTCACGAGTCAGTCTGGCTGTGTCTCTGGGAGAGTGAGGAAGCCTTTGCTCATTCATCCAAACATTTGGTATAATCCATTGATTTTTGTGGTTATTGATTGAGTGCAACTGTAAAATAAGCAACCATGAGCCCAAAGAAAGTTCCTAGTAAACACGATGGAATTTAAGAAAGAAATTGTTGAAAAGTATGAGAAATCCAAATCAACAATCACTTCCATCCTGTCAAAGAAAGTAGAAATCAAGGAGCTAATGTTGTAAAAGGGAGTTTAGCAGGGAGGCAGGGAGTGTAGCAGGCAGGCAGGGAGTGTAGCAGGCAGGCAGGGAGTGTAGTGGGGAGGCAGGACCCCAATGGAAATAAGTCACTATGACTTTTTTGGGTTATCCTAGGTTCTTTACACATATGCTGTGGAAGGGAGGCAGGGAGAGTAGCAGGCAGGCAGGGAATGAAGCAGGCAGGCAGGGAATGTAGCGGGGAAGCAGGCAGTGTAGCACGGAGAGAGGGAGTTTAGCAGGGAGGCAGGGATTGTAGCAGGCTGTAGCATGGAGGGAGGAAGTGTAGCAGGGAGGCAGGGAGTGTAGCAGGGAGGCAGGGAGTGCAGTAGGGAGGCAGGGTGTAGCAGGGAGTGTAGGAGGAAGGCAGGGAGTGTAGCATGGAGGGAGGGAGTGTAGCAAGGAGGCAGGGAGTGTAGCAGGCAGGCAGGGAGTGCAGCAGGGAGGCATGGAGTGTAGGAGGAAGGCAGGGAATATAGCAGGCATGCAGGGAGTGTAGAAGGCAGGGAGGGAAGTAACCCCAGAGAGGGTTTTGATACCTGAAGTCCTTATGGAGGGGGATTTACATTCTAAACAATAATCAGTCCTCCCCTCTCTCCTCCTCCCTGTCTGCTATAAGCTAACAAAAGTCTTCAATAAAGGTTTGTAATAGTGATGTAAATGTTCATTTATTTATTTTATTTAGTTCTCATTGTTTTGTGTATGTAAAACTATAATTAATCTTTAAAAAATGTACTTTTTGTTAATATTTTTGGGTGTCTGGAACGGATTAATTGTATTTACATTAATTCTCATGGGAAATATTATTTTGGTTTTAGGCTGACCTTCTGGAATGGATTATGGCCGATAATCGAGGGTCCACTGTACTGCAGTCACTCTAAATCAAATAACCAGAAGCATGATTAGTTACACAGACTGGGAATTCCATGTTATCTAGCAGTAAATTGGCCAAGGTACACACAAACAAAACTAAATGGAATATATAATATTACAAGACATACACATGTATACAGTATGTATATAGGCTATAAAAAGAATTATGAAACACTTATGAAATTGATATTTAACAGTTTATTCCACAAAAAAGATATACATAATAAGAACTGTAAAAGAAAAGTTTCATGGCAGATGTTGGAGAACTGAAAAAATAAAGCACTTAAACCAATACAGAAAGTGAGCAAATCCAGGTAAGAATGAGGGATTCAAATAAGATAGAAATGGATGGATAAGCAAGTGTAAGGAAATACAGAAGTACTAGACAGAGCAATATAGAATAAAATCTTTTATTCTAGTTTGTAAAAGATAAACTAAATGTTGAAGAATTAGACATATGTGCAACATCTGGGTATCTTTACTATAGATGTTTTGACAGCCAATGGCTTTATCAATACAAATTCAAGGACATAACTGAAAGATGGTATTGTATGCCATACATATACAAACTAGAATGTTAAAGACAAAATACAAAGAATTAAGAATGAAACCAAAATCACTGACGTGGAAGAGGAAACGTGTAATGCACTAAATAGAAAATTTCAAAGTGTACTTAAAAACGAGGATATTTTATATGTAGGAGATTTAAAACCTAAACAGATAATCAAGTTAGAGGATACTGAGATAACTAAACTGTAATTCTCCTCTACCAAATTTATTAAAGCCATACAGCATGAACTAATGATCAATTTTCTTGTATTCATTGTAACTCGCCTAATGACCATATGTACAATTTCGTACTGTTATTGCCTTATTAATCTTAAGTCAGCTTAAGTTTGCCCAAAATGCTCTGCATATAAAGGGGCTTTTGCAATGTACACTCAATTGTTATACACCCTTCTACAAACATGTATCAAGCTAAAATAAAAATTATTATTATTAAAGAAATTACATGCACAATTAACCCTCTCAGGGTCGACAGGCCCTCTCCCAGACTTGTTCTCAGGGTCGACAAATTTTCAAAAAAAAAAAAAAAAAAAAAAAAAAAAAAAAAAAAAAAAAAAAACTTATGAAAAGACAGAAAATCTTTTCCCGATCATAATGACACCAAAAGTATGAAATTTGATGGAAAACTTAGGAATTATGCTCTCGCGAAGTTAGCGGTCTCGACGATGTTTACGCATTGGTGATTTTGCCCACTTTGAGCCCTATTTTCGGCCAATTCCAGTGTACTAGTCAACAAAAATCATAATTATTTCGCTAGAACTTCATTTTTTCTATCGAATGAGTACAAGAAACCACCCATTTACCGATTTCAACTATCCAATAAAGTGGTCAGAATTTAGCAATTTTGCCAATTTCACACAAATTTCAAAAGATGCCAATTTCCAAATAGGGTCCAGAATAAACAAGAAAGACGTTCCTGGCACTAAAATAACATTTCCTCTGTTCATTAGTCACGTCCCCACGCCCCTCTTACATTCTTTTGCTTTCCACTTTGAATTTTTATTCTCACAAAAAATAATGCAGACTACCGCATTAGTGTAGAAATGGTATAAATAATATCAGCGCACTTGTGAAAGAATACTAGACTCACCAGTTGACGTGTGTTGGATGCGTAGCATGATTTGTTTACTTTTGAACTTTGGCAAAAATCGAAGATTTCTGCTACTTTGAGCTCAATTTCAAGGTACTTTTCATTGTAAAACCAATCAAAATAGTCTCAATTTCTGTAATATGTCTTCCATTCTATAAAATGAGACCAGGAAAACTAGGATACCATCATAAATACCATACGGAAATACAGTGCAAAGTTGCTGTTTTAAACCAAAAACACTCAGTTTTTTTTTTTTTCTCATTACGCACTGTGTACTGCAGAATTTTTTTTATACTGTGCACACTGACCACATAGACCCATTCTTTCATATGTAAGCCTACCAGCTTTCTCTCACTAGATGTGAGAGCTCTAGAATTTAGGCATAAGTACGTCAAAAACCCTGGTGTGTAAGCCGTACTAGTACGTCGGAAACCCTGAAAGGGTTAAATATTAACCCTTTTGGTGTCGATCCTGTTATATAATGGCTTTGAAGCCAGTGTTGGTTCACAGTACAATGCCATGAGCTCAGCTCACTCAGATAAGCTTTGAGTAGTAAATTTGGGCCTAGATATGAGAGAACGGGTCTATGCAGTAAGTGTGCACCATATACAAAAAATCCTGCAGCAAGCAGTGCATAATGAGAAAAAAAAATGACTGTGTTTCTTGTTTAAACCCGCAGATGGCCACACATGTTTTTGGTTCTGTTTTTGGTTTTTGGCTCAGTTTTTTCTCAAGCGTGAGGGTGTTTTGGGGGTCATTTTAAAGGGGTGGATAAAAGGGGAAAAGGGAAAGCATTAATGCTGTGAATGGCTAATCTGTTGATTGTGATCAACATATACATGTACGTGATCCTTGTACAGGAACTCAACAATATAAGCAGTTACCCAGGAAGCACCATGATGTAAGAAGATTCATGAAGGGAGCAGTATCGTATTATGTTGAGTGTGAAAAATGGACTACATTAATATCCTTATGAGGAATAAAATTGATATACTCACAGAACATTTCACCACTGAGTAATAGCATGAAATAATTTAAATGGGGGTCCACTGTATGTTTTCAAGGAAACTCAAACAAAAATATTGAAGTGACTAAGGTACCCCAGGCGAAGCCCAGTGTTGGTGGGAAATCAGGAAGGATTGCATTTGAAAGCAGTAAACTAAAATGTTGATGAAATCGGAATGCATGGTACTATTAGGGGGGTAACCATAGTGAGGAAGGAAAGTACATTACACCATATAAAAAAAATCACAAAAAAATTACACCGTGTGAAAAATCAGCATGAAATAAATTTAATATGGAGTGTTTGGGTGTTGACATTGTGTTTACAGTGTATCTTGCCTTACAAAGGTTTGTATGTATGTAAAATGTAAATGATAATAAAATACCTTGTCGGGTTTTCCTTGTGAATCAAACCTGTCGTGGACAACTCGGCTAGTGATTAAAAAAAAAATAATGAAAGTGTTTTAAACTAAAATGTAGCATCGCATGCGAGAAGTGCATTGTACCTTTGGGTGGTGTGTTACAGCCATACGTCTGGCAGCGCTACCAGGCAACCACATAGGCCTACCATGTACACCCATATAACACCATATACCCCATACCACAATAACCAAATCTAGATCAGTGTGAAGAACTCAGTAAGATCAATAAATTAAAATATATATGAGTGTTTGGGATATTGACAGTTTGGAGTGACTATCTAGACTGTCGTATCTGGGTG